TACCCTTAAGTTTCGAAAGTCTGTGGCCCAGAGAGGGCAAGTTGTCATCGCTGACATGGAAATTTGAAATAATCTGCAGAGGAACACGGTAGAAAAAGCCTTTGACTCTGAATGAAGAGATGGAAGGGCAGCAGACTACGCCACTCCCAAATATGCCAGTTGGGCACAAGAATGATTTGGAGATGATGGCAATTGAGAATCAGCAGATATAAGAAAAGCTCTCTGCCCTCCCCTTATTTGCCTAAAAAGCAAGACATAATCTGTAAAGATATTCCCCATTCCCCCACCCCCCAACTTCCCTCTGTACCAAGAAGAACAGAAGTTAATCCCTAGTTTCAATTCTAGACCCTTATTTACCTATAGTTTCCCCATATCCTTGCCTTCCCCAAATTTGTCCCTCACAGGAGCTCATCATGTCTTGTCATGTCTCTAAAAATGTGCTGTTCTCCTGTCAAGATGCTGTATAAGCGCAGGTTCTAACACCTCTTTGAGGTGCCCCCCTCCGAGTGCTCCCATGTGCATGCCTGATACACGTTTATAAATGTCTGCTTGTTAGTTTTATTTTTTGTAGGGCTTCAGTTGGAGAACCCAAGATGGGTAGAGGAAGGAGAATATTCTTCCTTCCCTGCAAGATCAAGTAGACTCTAGTGGAGGTTCTAGTCATACTTTGGGGAGGTTATTTGAGTTTCCAGTTAACGTGTCTGTGCATGTATGTATATGTATACGTATGTATGTGCAGGTGTGTGTATTTACTTACTTAGCTAACAGTGCTACAACTTATAAAGTTCTTACTCTGCTGTGTAGCTGTTAGGACACTGCTCCTTTTTTTTTCTAAAATGTGTTTGTTGGGGTGGTTTCCCATTCATCTTTTTGTGGGGGAGGGTGGAGGTAACTAGGTTTGTTTGTTTATTTAATGGAGGTACTGGGGATTGAACCCAGGACCTCGGGCATGCTAAACATGCACTCTACCACTGAGCTATACCCTCCGACCCCTTCTGTAAAATTATTCTCTTTGGATTTCCAGTAAGTTCTGTTCCCCCTTGGCCCTGTAGACTTAGGAGTGGAAATAACTTCCTACCGTTAATCACCCTCAGGGAATGCACATTGCCCGGGTAATTGAACTTAACTCTGGTAAACTGTCCCATCACAAAACTTTCTTCAATTACCCAACGTGAGCGCACCATCTGTTTCCTGCCAGGATCCTGCATGTCACACGTGTGATCTCATTTCATTCTTCCTGCCACCCAGAAGCGATGGGTATTATTACCCGCTTCGTATACCTAAGAAAGGCTCAGAAATGCTAAACAACTGGCCTGAAGTTACATAATTGACTTGTAAATGGTAGGGGCAGGATTCAAAGGGAGGTGTGCGTGACTCAGGGACCCCTTCACCAGACTGAACCATACTGAATTAGCCCTAGGGTCCCAAATTTTCCCCTTTGTCCTCTTCTCATAAAAAAATACTTTGCCAACCCGCATGAGTCTCTTAAAATGAAATCCATTAATAATGTAATCTATCCAAACACCTCATTTCAACTAAGATGCACAAAATATTTTAAAATAAAAGGATACTTACAATAAAATACGTATTTCACATATGAATGCTCAGCATGACCACACTGTTATATTACAATGAAGCTGTCAGATGCACCTACCTTCATGATCACTTGGATTTAAGATAAGTAAGACAAAATTGATTTTTTTCCTTTATATATGACTTTTTGAAATCAGAGCTAAATTAGGATATTCATGTAGAATCACTCAGGTGGATCAGGTTTTGCTCACAAATAGTCAACGTCTCCCCGCCACCTCCGTGGGGAGAGTGTTCTTTTCCTTTTCCCCCCCTAGACCTTGGGCTTGCCAGTGTGGCCTGCCCTGGCCAAGTGGCACAGCAGCAGGCAAGGCTGAACTAAGGTGTGAAATGCGCTGGGCAGGGGGCCTTGCCCACCTGGGCCCCTGCCATTCTCATGCTGCCCCTCCAGCCTGGGCCCATGATGAGATACAGGGAGCAGACTTGAGCCCAACTCACGCTCGGAGAAAGCCCCGCTGACCAGGCGTCAAGCGGAACTGCCCCGCTGAGCCCCGCCTGCATCCGCCAACACTTTGCTAACCCACAGATGTGCGGGGGAGAACGATCTGTTCTAAGCCACCGTGTTTTAGAATGATTTATTATGTGTGAAGAAATTGCTGACAGATACAATCATCATGAAGGTAACGGCTTTAAAGGTGGATACAGATGGGATGTACTGGGGGTTCAAGGAACACGAGCCATGTTGCTGTTGATCACGTGAGTTTTCCACAATGATGAATAATTTTTTTTTCCTGGACAACGCATAGTATAATTTCTCTTTAATACAGATGGTGGTTGCATACCTGTGATATTCAGATATATGAAAACTGCAAGTAACTACTTTGTGTAAAGTTAGAGTCTAGATTTAAAAACTATAAACAGGTTATTCACCTACATAAATTGTCTTTCCAGATTAGAAAAGTTGTGCAGAGCCTAGAGTAATTAATTCTTCATTGCACAGGACTGTCCTAACCCTTACAGACCATTTAACACACAGCCCCTGTCCTCCAAATTCCAATAGTGCCTCTTAGCCCCTGTGCCAACCAAAAACACCTCCTGGCATTTTCAAAATGTGCCCCTGGGAGGTGGCACAGCCCTTGTTGGAATCACTAGATGAGATGATTCAGTGTTTCCTTCCAGCTCAAATATTCTCAGATTTTCTGAGTCTGATTTTAGTTGTCATTCAATCAGTGAATATGTACTAAATGTCTGTTATGTGCCAGCATCGTGGATATAAGAATAATACACAACCGTTGCTCTCAAAGGGTTTACGGTGTAGAGGGAAGCACAAACCAGCAATCAGGCAATTCTCATGTACAGTGATGGGCGGTACCACTGCTGGATGTTCAGGATGCTACAGGAGGATGTCCATAAGAGGAGCATCTAACCTAATCCTGGGGCTCAGGAAAGGCTCTCCCAGAGGAGGTGACGTCTAAGCAGTCATAAGAGAGGTCTGGTTATTAATTAAGCAAATAGGAGTAAGAGGTGAACAGAGAGGAAGGAGCAGGCAGCATGCTCTTTCCCTGAAGCAAGGACCTGGATGACCTATCTGCGGAGATTGTTGAGGGAGCACGAGCATTGAGTTGGAGGGATCTCGGTTCAAATCTGACCGCTGCTATAACCCTGAGCCGTTTTCATAGCTAAGCTTTATGAATTGCTCGCTATGTTCCAGGCACTCTGGTAAGTGAATGCTGTGGATTACTTCTTTTAATCCTCCCAACAGTACCTAAAAGGGTGGGTACTATTATTATCATCCCTCTGTTTACAGAATGAGAAATTGAGGCACAGAAAGGTTAAGTAACTTGCCTAGTCTAGCAAGCGGTGGTGTGGGATTAGAACCAAGACAATCTGACTGCAGAGTCAATGTTCCTCCCCACTCCCCTGCACAGCCTAACCTGGGATCCTGTTTCCTCAGCTGTGTGGCGTGTGTAACAGCAGCTCCTGTAAGCTGATATATAAATGAAATGTTTATATATTTAAGCACCAGGCACATTGGTAGAATATTTTTTAAAATAGTTATTCAACTTCTGATCCTTCCATTTTCAAGAGAGGAGCAGCATACAGTGTACATGATTTTAGTTACAAATCATGTTTTTGAAAACCGAAGTGCCATTAAAAGAAAATGTATATTAAAATTAAGTTTGATTACATGTAAGAGATAACACAAAAAACAAGTGGCTTAAACAGACAAGGGTTTACTCTCACGTGAAAGGAGTTGAGCTTGACAGTCCAGTTTCTCCTTACTTTCTCTTAAGTTCACCTCAAGGTCCAAGATGGCTGCAGGAGCTTCAGTCTTGGTACCTGCCTTCCACAGCAGGAAGGAGCAGGGGGAAAGAATAAGGAGCTAAAACTCCCAGTTGAGTTGATTCCCTCAAGAAGGACTCCTGCTTAGTCTGGGATTAGGACAGACTGATGATGGGGTACCACAGTCCCGCCTCTCCCACTAAAGCAGGCAACACCACTGTGCTGGTCGTGCACCCGAGCTCCCTGAGCATCAGGCTGAGGCTGGACTCCAGCTGAAACCACGTCTCTGCCTCACTCCTACCCCTGCCCTCTCCTGCTTCTCTTCCTTCCTTCCAGGTTTCCCTTCAAAAAAAAAAAAACCAAAAACCAAAAAACAAACAAAAAAGCAACTTGCATAAGAATCCCCAACCTGGGCTCTGCTTCTAGGAATCCTGCAGTGTGTGTGTGTGTTTTTTTTTTTCTGCCAAAATCTGCCTCCTTATAATCTCACCCAGGTTCTACTGCGTTGAGTAATCCAGGATAAATGGAATTCTCTTCCATAGGGTAGCACCTCTATATATTTGAATACAGCTGTAAAAGAGTGATGATATGTACATACCATTTGACTGTTGACAAAGAACTCTTGTGTTCATTTTCTCGTGTAATCCAGCACTCCCTCTGCTTGATGACAAGATACCGCTGTTTTGGGGAGGAGGCGCCAAATTCGAATATGTTTTAGTAGCATCTGCAATTATACTCTGTGAGATGAGAGTGCGGCAAGGGTCTGTCTCAGACAGTCCTGCCGTGTCTCCCAGCTTTCCTCTGCTCAAGGATTTTGTTGTACAAACTGAAAACATTATTAGACAATAAAATAAAACATTCATAAATTATTGCTCATATTTAGAACCTCTTCAGCAAAGATCCAACATATGCAATGAAACATACATATATTTACAACCAGGCCAAATCTGCTCTACTGAAGGGTCATCTCATCTCCCGGCTAAAGTTTTACGCTAGGAGGGTACTGACAGGTGCTAAGGTGCTAAGGCTGAGGCAGAAAATAGGTGAGCTTATTGTACAGGGTCCAACGAGTTGCCTGGGAGTCGTCCCCCGCCCCCACCTCATCCCACCCTACTCCACCTCTGGCCCGGGACCCCTGGGTGGCAGCCTCTGGCCTGCCTGGGAAAGGGTTTAGAGGCGTAGCCTCCGCCCCAGCGGCCGAAGATCCTCCTAGGAGCGCGGGGGCGCTGTGAGTCACTGCGGGTCATGGTGGCGCTCTTTCTCAGCCTCGTTGGTTCAGACTGAGGCTTTCGGGACGGCGGCGGGAAGATGGCGGCCCCCAGGGACCAGCTTGGAGCCGTGGAGGAAAAGGGAAGCTCGGGTCGCCAGGGGAGCTCAGGAGTCGAGGTGGTTTTTCCCTCCGATCCCGCCACCCCCGCCCCGCTGTGCCCTCACGGTGGGTCCGCGTTTGGGCTCAGGCTGGCTGTCAGGCGCCAAGGGGCGTGGGTTAGCCTGAAGGTGCCATGGACTTTTAGGACTCCCGGATTTTGTATCTGCCTCTCTTCCCCACCGTGTGTGATGCCTTTCTCTGGAAGTTGTGGTTTTCCACTTAAGAAACCGTCGTAGAAAGTCCCCACGGTTGTGGTTTTGGCTCGACAGCTATTACATCTTTTTGAAGGGACGAGGCAGAGGCTAGACAAAAAGGATGCATGTTACTGAGTAATTCCCATTGCCAAGTACTTGGAGATTTCATGTGTTGCTTTGCCATCTTTTCAATTAAAAAAACATTAGGAAGCAAGATAGAATGAATTCTTGCTTAGAAACCAGACCCAATTTTTCTGTAACTTGGGGAGAAAGGGTATGTACAACTATAAAGCTCAGATTTTCACTGAAAGGATAGATGAGCAGAGGTTTCCAAGTTCTCAGTTGTTGGACCCTTCCTTGTGTCAGGACACAGGCCGTTCACCATGTGGACCGCAACTAAACTGACGATAGTTTCTGGAGAAAAACTTTTAATTTCTTAAGTAGTCAGTGCCTGAATGTCGTGACCTTATGGGGAAAAATTACGCAGAATAGTACATTTAATTATGATAAGTTGTTCATTAAACTAAAACCAATTTTATTTAAGGGCGGTGGAAACTAGGAACTGACATGTTTTTTCCTATTTTGGAACTAGGACCCACTCTTCTGTTTGTAAAGGTGAACCAAGGGAAAGAAGAAACACGGAGGTTTTATGCCTGCTCAGCGTGTAGAGATAGAAAAGATTGTAATTTTTTTCAGTGGGAAGATGAAAAGGTATGTAAACTTTTTGACTATATATATATATTTTTTTTAACAGGGGAAAATCAAATTTATTATGGGCACACGGAATTCTCAGGGAAATGAAGAATTCCCTATTTTAAAATTTTTGATGTGTGTGATATTTTATTGAGCATGTATGAGATAAATCTTTTAAGAGATGAAGATACCATGTTTTTTGGCTGGAGAGACTGGTGTTTATATTTGCTCTAATTTACTCTGATTACTGATGTCTTAAACTACTATCTCAAAGACTGAGTTCCCTTTAAGACTTTCTGAGATGTTATTACGGAGTTGCAAATACAGATTTCTCCCAAAAGAATATAGGTGATGGTCACTCAAGGAAGTGTTTTAGAAAAACACTTTCTTGGAAACATTTGCATTGGACATCCTTTTATTTATTTATTTTTTAAATTGAAGTATAGTTGGTTTACAATTTAGGTTAATTTCTGGTATACAGCAGAGTGATTCAGTTACACATGTATATATATATATAGTCCTTTTCATTATAGTCTATTACAAGATATTGAATATAGTTCCCTGTGCTATATACTAGGACCTTGTTGTTTAACAGTTTTATATATAATAGTCAGTATGCATTGAACATCCTTTATACAGCTGTCGGATGACCGATGAAGGCACTTAGAGATAGTTATGAGCTTGGTATCCTCTTGGACTCAGCTCCAATTAAAGTTTCTGAAAGTTTTAACTAGAACATTTTCAGGTTTGTTAGGTTTATTGGAAGACAGTCTTGTATGTGCCTCTTCTGCAGACTTGTTAAGATCACCAAGTGTGATTAATCTCTCAGTGCTTTAATAGTTGGTTACTGTTTCAAACCACTCTAGGATTTTCCCAGATTAATGTGTTTTGTTTTGTTTTGTTTTCCCCTGAAATGAATGTTTGTTTACAACTTTGAGCTGCTTGAATTTCTGGCTTCTCAATGTCAGAATGTGATACTAGTTTTTCTAGGGTGGTAGCAAATTTGATGGTTTATTAAGTGGCTTTACTTTTGCACTCTTTCAGTTGTCAGGAGCTAGACTTGCTGCCCGAGAAGCTCATAATCAAAGATGTCAGCCTCCTTTATCCCGATCGCAGTGTGTGGAAAGGTACTGATGCAGTGTCATTTTTCATTTATTATCTTTTTTTTCTCTGTGCCCTTAAGTTTAATTAATTTATTTTTATTGTGATAAAGTATATCTATAACATAAAATTTGGCAATTCAGTGGCCGTAATTACATTAACAGTGTTGTGCAACCATCACCGCTATCAGTTTCCAAAATTTTTTCATCACCCTAAACGGAAACTCTGTCACCATGAAGCAGTAACTCCCTATTCCACCTTCCCCCAATCCCTGGTAACCTCTAATCTACTTTTTGTCTGTATGAGTTTGACTATTCTAGGAACCTCAGATAAGTGAAATTATCAATATTTGTCCTTTTGTGACTGGCTTACTTCACTTAGCATAATGTTTTCAAGGCCTATCCATGTTGTAGCATGTGTCAGAAATTTATCCCTTTAATGGCTGAGTAATATTACATTGTATACATGTACCATATTTTGTACATCTGTCAACGGACACTCAGGTGTTTCTACTTTTTGGGTATAGTGAATAATACTCAAAACATCAGTGTATAAATATCTGTTTGAGTCCCTCTCTTTATTCCTTTTGCATACATGCCTAGGAGTAGAATTACAGGATCATATGATAATACTATGTTTTGTTTTTTGTGGAACTGCTAACCTGTTTCCTACAGTGGCTGCACCATTTTACATTCCCCCCAGCAATGCATGAGGGTTCCAATTTCTCCATGTCCTTGCCAACATGTGCTATTTTCTGTATTTTTTATTATAGCCATCCTAGCAGTTGTGAAGTGGTATGTCATTGTGGTTTTGATTTTTATTTCCCTCATTACTAATGATGCTGACCATTTTTTCATACGCTTTTTGGCCATTTGTATGTCTTCTTGGGGGAGTGTCTGTTCAAGTCCTTTGTCCGTTTTAATAAGATTGTTCGTCTTTTTGTTGTTGAGTTGCAGGAGTTCTTTATACGTTCTAGATGTTACACCCTATTACATGGTTTGAAAATGTTTTCTCCCATTCTGTAGGCTGTCTTTTCACGTTCTCAGTGATGTCCTTTGATAACATAAGAGTTTTTAACTTTGATGAAGTCCAACATCAATTTTTTTTTTGTTATTAGTGCTTGTGCTTTTGGTATCATAGCCAAGAATTCATTGCCAAATCCAATCTCATGAAGATTTACTGTAATTTTCCTTTTAGAAATATTGAAAGAACCACAAAAAACTTTTAAAAGCTGTATACATCTATTTTTAAAAATCTGCATTTAAAAAATATTTTATTGGGTGAACTGGAATTGAGTCAGAGATTAATTTTTTGGCAAACCTGTGAAAAGAACTTATCCCCCTCCTGTGTTGTAGGCGTCATGTTCTGTTCACTGGGAGAAAGTCACAAAGGGGCCTGTGGACTAGGTTGCTGATGACATAGGTTTTCACTCTCATGACAGCTCCTTCTGGTTACCTGGGCTCCTGTGTTTAAGAGGTTTCTGAGATCTTAGCCAGGGTAAGTGGAAAGAAGTACTGGGATCTGTTAAAAATGTCTTTCTGAGCTTACGATTTTAAGGCCCTTTGATGGAGGAGGCTTTTAAGATAACTTGATTGCTCCTTAACTACTGAACTTAATCAGTGATGTCTGCTTAATGTATGGGAATTAAATCAACAATGAAAAATGTTGAAAAGGGAATTAATGTAGATTGAGCACCACTGAGCTAGGCACTATGCTAGCTGTTTTCCGCGAGATATTATTTAATCCTGCCAAGGTCGTTTACTTAGAGGAGAAAACTGAGACTTGGACAAGTAACTTCATCAACTTCATACTACTAGAATGACTGAGCAGTGATTCAGACTTACGCCTCTTTGATTCTGAAGTGGTGTTTTTAGGCATAAAAGCAGATAGTAATTAATATATGATGTATAGTAATTTAATTTAAGGAAATATAAGGCTTTAAGGCATAAAGAATTTTGTAGAGATGTATTATTATGAGACTATATAGCTTAATGAGATAAAATAGAATATTGAAGAAGCAGAAAGTAGGAAATAGAAAAATATCACCCATGGTTTCTCTCTTTGAACCCAGGACCTTGGTCATTTTGTAGTACCTCCTCTTGACCTTTTTTTAATATGCAGAGGTTTGTTTTACAAGGTTGTGGTCATCATGTATACATGGTTTTGTCCTTTGCCTTATCACTTCTGTCTGATAAGCATGTAGTTCATTTTATTACATAAGGATATTGGTGATTCAGTTGAACTCCATAAGAAAATTTAGATGTTCTTCTTTCCTTACATAATAAGATGTTAGTCTGGAGCTAAACCACAGTTCAAATTTTTGTCCTGCCAGAGTATGGTTCTTGATACTAAAAAATTTCTGAAATTCATATTTCATGTTAATTAGAATATAAAAGCACTGGCTAAAATATGAAGCATTAAATTTTTTTTAAGTTAAAGTTATTTCTTGGAGGCTGTAATTTTATCTGTTATTTAGTGCTGGTTTTTGAGCACATGTTCTGATAAAGTAATTTTCATCATCTTAAATCATCTGTGACCTATAACTTCAGGTTTTGTTGCCCAAGCCTCCGATCCTCCCTTCCTGCATCCATCCATCTATTCATCCAATTGTTTATTCATTCTTTTTTAAGGGCTCAAAAAAAACTTAAATGGCTAGTAATGGAGTTGAGCTTTATTTAAAGATGATATAGTAAAGATTTCTAGTCAAGATGGCGGAGTGGTAGGACCACGAGCTTGCCTCTCCTCGCAGCTGCAACAAAACCACAACTGAATGCTAAACAATCATTGAAAAAAGACTGGAACCTAGCAACAAAGATCCGCAGCTGGAAACATAAAGAGGGAACCACAGCAGGTTGGTAGGAGGGGTGTGCTTGCGATATAATTGGGCCCCATACCCCTCAGGTCGGTGACCCATAAACTGAAGATCTATTAAGTCACAGAGGCTCTCCCACAGGAGTGAGAACTCTAAGCCCCACGTCAGGCTCCCCAGCCCAGGTTCCGGCATTGGGAAGAGAAGGAGACCCCAGTACATCTGGTTTTGAAGGCCAGGGGGCTTGGCTCTGGGAGCCTCACAGAACTGGGGGAAATGGAGACTCCATTCTCTTGGGAAGCACTCACGGAAAGTCACGTGCAACAGGTCCAAGGGCAGAGGCAGTGATTTCATAGGAACCTGGGCCAGATCTGCCTGCTGGATTTGGAGGGTCTCCTAGGGATGTGGGGAACGGCTACAGCTCATTCAGGGGACATAAAAGCTGGTGGCAGACATTCTGGGAGTGTTCATCTACATGAGCTTTCCTGGAGGCTGACATCTTGACTGGATCATTAGCATCAAGACCTAGCCCTATCCAACAGCCTGTATGGAAGCCTCTGGCCAAACAACATACAGGGTGGGCTGAAAAATTGTCCTGAACACTGGAACTTGACACAACATTGTAAAATGATTATAAATCAATAAAAAAATGTTAAAAAAAATACAGGGTGGGAACACAGCTCCACCCATCATCATCAGACTTCCTAAGCCACAAAGGCTTCTAGACACAGCCATACCCATCAGAGGTCCAGGACCGAGCTTCACCCAGCAGTGGGCAGGCACTGGCTCCTCCTGCCAGGAAACCTGCATAAGCTTCTAGTCCAGTCTCACCCACCAGGGGCAGATACTAGAACTAAGAAAACAATAATCCCAAAGCCTGTGGAAGGAATCCACAAACACATAGAAAGGTAGATGATACGAGGTGGCAAAGGAATATCTCCCAGGGTAAGGCATGAGATAAAATCCCAGAATAAGAAGTAAGTGATGAGGAGACAGGAAATTTATTTGAGAAAGAGTTTAAAGTAATGATGGCCAAGATATTCAGAGAACACAAGAGAAGTATAGATGCACAGAGTGAAGTTTAGCAAAGAGTTGGAAAATATAAAGAATATCCAAACAGAGTTGAATAAAATCACTGAAATGAGCAATACACTAGAAGGAATCAGGAATAGACTAAATGAGGCGGAAGAACGGATCAGTGAGCTAGAAGACAGATTAATGGAAATCACTACTGCAGAACAGAAAAAAGAAAAAAAATGAAAAGAAATGAGGATAGTTTAAGAGAACTCTGGGACAACATGAAGCGCACTAATATTCACATTATAGGGTTCTCAGAAAGAAGAGAGAAAGGGCCTGAAAATTTTTGGAGAGATAATCACTGAATAGTCCCCCAACTTGGGAAAGGAAACAGTTACCCATGTCCAGGATGCGTGGAGAGTACCTCACAGAATCAACCCAGAGAGGAACACATCAAGGCACATAGTCATCAAATTGATAATTAAGGATAAGGAAAAAATATTAAAATTAGCAAGAGAAAAGCAACAAATAACATATAAGGGAACTCCCATAAAGTTATCAGCTAATTTTGCAACAGAAACTCTACAGGCCAGAAGAGAGAGGCATGATATATTTAAGTGATGAAAAGGGGAAACTTACAACCAAGAATACTGTATCTAGCAGGGCTCTCATTCAGACTTGAAGGAGAAATCAAAACCTTCACAGATGAACAAAAGCTAAAAGATTTCAGCACCACCATACCAGCTTTACAACAAACGTTAAAGGACCTTCTCTAGTTGTCAAACCATAAGAAAAGAACAAAAAGAAGAAAGAAAAAAAAAGAGAGACCTACAAAAGATTGCTTTGGCTATTCTGGGTCTTTTGTGGTTCCTTATAAAGTTTGGAATTGTTTGCTCTAGTTCTGTGAGGAATGTCATGAGTATTTTGATGGGGGTTGCAGTGTGTCTGTGGATTGCTTTGGGTAGTGTGGACATATTGATAGTGTTGATTCTTCCAATCCAAGAGCACAAGAAATCTTTCCATTTCTTTGTGTCGTTTCAGTTTTTGGAGTATAGGTAACCTCCTTGGTTAAGTTTATTTCTAGGTATTTTGTTGTTTTTGATGTAATGGAAATGTTTCTGCCAGTTATAAAGTTCTGGTTTTTGAAGTGAAAAAAAAAGTGAATGAAGGGCCACAAATGGCAAAATATCCCTTTTTATG